AATTGCATACTCCAGACAAGCTCAACCCCTGCCACTCTGGCTCAGGCCTATGCTCATTTTCTTCATCAACCACACTACAACTGTACATAGGTATTTGCCTTCATGTTTTCCTCCCACTGGCATATAAGTATAAGCAACACGAGGGCAGGGCTGTGACATCCTTGTTGACAGTGACATCACCTTCACTTGTCTAGGACTGCACCCAACATGTGGTAAACTCTCAATCGAAATACCCTGAATGACCTAAGTTAACCTTGAGTTGGCGTTGACCTTTCCTGTAAGCTCTTCATTCACAGAACAGTCCTCTGCAGACCAGGGGGTGGCTTTCCCGATGGGTCCCACAGAATTGCATACTCCAGGTAAGCTCTTGCCCTCCACCTTGGTACAGCCAAATGCAGGCTGGCTTGTGGCAGGGAAATACATATTATCCATGTTAGCCTCAAAGTAGCATTGAGTGTTTTCACATTTTATGTCTCAAAGTGGTGGGGGTCCCACGATACCACATTGGACATTGTGTGGGCTATGGGCAGATGAGGTTACACGAGAGCCTATGGCAACCATGAGTTCTGAGAAGCTGAAATGCACACGTGGGAAATTTGATACTTCTTCAATACAACAGAATTTCTGTATCTCCTTCAAAGAAGGCCAGTAGGAGTCAAATTAGGCATAAAAGGGAGGTTGGGGTTTTATTTGTGTGTTTGTTTTTTTCTTTTCAGCTTGTAATTAAGCCGTCAGGTAACGTTTTACTGAAAGTGGCTGCTGTATGTTCCTCTGGTGCCTGGGGTTTCCTGCTCAGGCTTCCCTTCCGGACCCCACAGGAGACAGGAGGAAGCTGCTCAGGAAATTCTCATCGCGTCAAAGCACAGCCTCACCCTCTTTAGGTCGAGCAGTTTCAAAGCATGGACATATCAGACCGATTAAAGGGGACAAGGGCTGAGTGAAGTCCTGGAATAGGTGAGAGGGGGCACAAACTCTGGTAGACACCCAGTGACTTGTCTAGGAAGCAGCAGGTGAAGTACGGGAGCATGAAGACCTCTCTTCTGACGGCGTCCACATCCCAGGTAAGTTGGGAATGGAAGCCAGCTCCCCTCGAGTGAGAGCAGGAGGAAGGAGCATTGGAGGCTCCAGGACAGAGGAGTATGAGCTGGTACCTGGGAAAGGGAGGAGCCAGATGATTACTAAACTGCAGTGGGATCAACTGGCAATAATTAGGGGCCATGAGGTTCAGTCACTCATGCAGAGTGACACCCATTGGCGTTGGTTGGGTATTTTCTCCAGGCTGTTTGGGTTCACAGTGTGGGTGGGTGGTGAGATGCAGGCACCAGGGGAGGGATTTTTCCAGGCCAGCATGAGGGCGACAGGCAGGCAACTGAGTTGTAAATATTTGCCAGGAACTGATTAAAATGATGGAGTGTGGCTTTACAGTTTCAGGTTTTATGTTTAAGTTTTTAATGTATCTTGAGAAAACATAGGGAAAAAGCTTCTTGGTATTAGCCTTGGCAATGATTTTTTAGACATGACCCCAAAAGCACAGGCAGCAAAAGCAAGCACAGAAATTAAAAAGTTTCTGCACAGCAAAGGAAACAACAGAGTGGAGAGACAACCTGAGCGAGATAAAATACGTGAAAACCACATATCCTATAGGGGATTAATGTCCAAAAGTATATGGAGAACTCAAGTCAACAGCAAGAAAGCAAATAACTTGATCAAAAATAGACAAAAACCCTAAATGGACATTTCTCAAATGACCAGACAAATGACCAACAGGTTTATGGAAACATGCTCAGTATCACTAATCACTGGGGAGCTACAAATTAAAATGAGATTTCACCTCACACCTTGGGAAAGGACGTTATCCAAAAGAACAAAGGCAGGGGTTGGTGAGGATGTGGGGAAGGAGGGATCCTTGTACTGTTGGGGGAAGGTGAGTTAGAACAGCCATTATGGAAAACAATTTAGAGGGTCCTCAAAAAATTCAAAATAGAACTACCATGTGATCCAGCAATCAATCCCACTACTGGGAATATATCCAAAGGAATGAAATCAGTATCTGGAAGAAATGTCTGCACTCCCACCTTTGTTGCATCATTATTCACAGTAGTCAAGACATGCAGCCAACCTCTAAGTGTCCATCGATGGGTAAATGGATAAAGAAAATGTTGTATATGCACACTTATGATATACTCCACATCCTCACACAGCAGAATACCATTCAGCTTACAAAAAAAGAAATTTCCAAAAACATGAATGAACCTGGAGGACATTATGCTAAGTAAAATAAGCTAGACACAGAAAGTCAGATACTGCATGATCTTACTCATATGTGGAGTGTTAAAAAGTTGAACTTTTTAGAGGCAGAGAGTAGGATAGTGGTTACCAGGGCCTGCAGGTGAGAGGAATGGGGAAATGTTGGTCAAAGGGTGTAAAGTTTCAGTTACTCGGGAGGAGTGAGCTCTGGAGACCTATTGTATATCATGGTGGGTATAGTCAATAACAATGTGTTGTGTTCTTAAAAATCACTAAGAGGGCAGATCTTAAATGTTCCTCCCACAAAACATAACAGGTATGTGGGGTGGTGGACGTGTTAATTAGCTTAATTGTGGTAATTATTTTGCAATGTATATGTGTATCAAAACATCATGTTGTTCACCATAAATGCATACATTGTTTGTCAATTGCACTTCAATAAAGCTGAGGAAAAAGAGAGTTCATTCAACCTAATGCCACATTAAAATTCACCTCACTATGTAATTTTTAAATGATGGAATATGGGGTCTTTTCATTATAAGTTCTTTTGTGCCATTTGATTGGTTATCATGTCCATGATTGCTAATTTTTTTTTTTTTCACCGAGTCTCCCTCTGTCACCCAGGTTGGAATGCAATGGCGTGATCTTGGCTCACCACAACTTCTGCTCCAGAATTCATGTGATTTTTCTGCCTCAGCCTCCCGAGTAGCTGGGATTACAGGTGCCCACCACCATGCACAGCTAATTTTTCTATCTTTAGTAGAGATGGGTTTTCTCCATGTTGGCCAGGCTGGTCTCGAACACCTAACCTCAAGTGATCCGCCTGCCTCAGCCTCCAAAAGCTCTGGGATTATAGGCATGAGTCACCCCACCTGACCATGATTGCTAATATTTTTAAGTAGAAAAAAATCATAAAGCAGATGCTGGTCAGATTAAGAATGAGCCTATCCTAAGAAATAGTGCACGGAAGCATGTGAAAGTTTATCCTGCACCTTTGCCTTCTGGGGCAAGGGAGTCAGCAGGACACAGGATGTGAGGAGCACCCCTATATCTCCAGCACCTCTGAATGGGCTTTCTTGTCAGAGTTTGGGTCTCCAGGGCACAGCTTCCATTCTTCTTAAGATAGAGTCTCCTCTACTCTTTGTTAGGTAAATATGACTTAATATACCAAGGGCAGGCCAGAGTAGAGACTGTCCATCTGTTATGGGTTGGGTTGTGTGCTCCCAAATTCACCATTGAAGTCCTGATCTTCTGAAGTCTTTACAGGTGTGGTTAAATAAAACTGAGGCCATTAGAGTGTGTCCTAATCTAAAATCATTAGTGTGCATGCCTATGTTCATTGCAGCACTGTTCGTAATAGCAAAGACATGTAATCAACCTAAATGCTTGTTAATGATAGACCAGGTAAAGAAAATGTGGTACACATACACCATGGAATACTATGCAGCCGTAAGAAAAACACCATCAGGTCCTTTGCAGGAACATGGATGGAGCTGGAAGCCATGAGCCTCAGCAAACTAACACAGGAACAGAAAACCAAACACCACATGTTCTCACTTGTAAGCGGGAGCTAAACGACGGGAACACATGGACACACAGAGGGGAGTAGCACACTCTGGGGCCTATCAGAGAGTGGAGGGTAGGAGGAGGGAGAGGATCAGCAAAAATGACTAACGGGTACTAGGCTTAATACCTGGGAGGTGAAATAATCTGTACAACAAGCACCCGTGATACAAGTTTACCTATGTGACGAACCTGCATCTGTACTCCTGAACTTAAAAAAGAAGTGTAAAAAGGGGTAATGAGGACACAGACATGTAGAGAGGGAAGACTGCAAGCCAGGAAGAGAGGCTGCAGGAGAAACCAAAGCCGACACTTGCATCCTGGACTCCAGCCTCCAGAACTATGCGACAATAACCCTCTGCTGTGCATGCCCCAGTGCGTGCGACTTCCTTACACCAACCCCAGCAAACGAATACATCATCCAGACTAGGTAGGCCATTTTCCCAAAATATTACTAAACTATGTCAAATATTTAAATGCTGTTTTATAAAATACAAGCTGAAGTGTTTGAACCACGTTTCCTCATTTGCACATTTATGCGCCAGTGAATTGCTGGTTGACATATTCATAGGTTTAAGCATATGGCATCTGGTTCATTTCATATATGTTTGGTTTCATCACACTGAATCCTGTTGTCACTTTATATTAAAGTCCCCAAAAGACCTCTTCATGAAATGTTAAGGAGGGATCATGAAATAATGAAATCAGATACATAAATAACTGAATCCAATGAATCCAACCAAAATTAAAAGTTGTCCTATAGGGTCGAGTTTGTACTATTTTGAGTAATAGTGACATGTTATGGAATGAGGCACAAACAAGATGCATTCCTAATTATATGTGTCTGTATGTGTATGTGTGTGTGTGTGTGTGTGTGTGTGTGTGTGTGTGTGTGGTGTGTGTGTTGATGCATAAACCCTGGACCAAAGAAAAGCGTTTTCTTTAAGAACTATTTGAAGGCACTGGAAAGAGGACGAGCAGGCAGAACCTGGAAGAGTGTCCATTTGTAAGAGATGAGCATTTGTCTGGCTTTCCGCTGGGGCTGATGTAGAAAGTACAGTCTCTCTCACCACCTTGAGGGATCAACGTATGGAGGAGGGATTCCTAAATGGCTGGAAAATGAGGGGGGAAACACCAGATTGAAAGGAACAAGGGAGCTCTTCCCGGGACGTTGTCCGCAGGCACTCAGAATGGTCCAGTGTTTGACACACCCATATTGTAGGCTTTCCTACAACACAACCTCTCATAAAACCAAGCTATCCCGAAGCCCTGGTAATAGAATTGTCTACATGTATACCAAGAAGGTTGGGAAAGCACCAAAATCTGCCTGTGGCATGTGCCCAGGCAGACTTCGAGGGGTTTGTGCTCTAAGACCTCAAGTTCTTATGAGATTGTCCAAAACAAAGAAACATGTGAGCTGGGCCTATGGTGGTTCCATGTGTGCTAAATGTGTTCGTGACAGGATCAAGCGTGCTTTCCTTATTGAGGAGCAAAAAATCATTGTGAAAGTGTGGAAGGCAGAAGCACAGAGTCGGAAAGCTAAATAGAAAAATGAAACTTCTTTGAGTAATTAATATGAAAAGACTTTTTAAAAAAGGAGCAAAGGAGGGGAGCCATAAAACCTGTGTATAATTTCACCCAGGTCTTCCACTGATCTCTTAGCTGTGCCTGAGTGGGAGACAGTCCAGGGAAACTTCCAGAAGGAGCCAGCTGGAGTGCTGAGGAGACAAGGAAGGAACCAGAAAATAATATGTAGTAAATCTCAAAAGGCTGACATTTTGGGGAGCATGTTCTCTGACCACAGTGAAATGAAACTGGAAATTGACATCTTGAAGATCTCCAAAAAACTGTAATAGGCATTACTGAGCAACGGATGAGCTTTGAGTATGGGCTGAGGAATCAGGTAATCATATTGTATCAGTGTTAAGTCTCCGGATTTTGATAATTACACTGTGGTCATGTACAAGATGGTCTTTGTTTCTGGGGAATACACACTGGAGTATTTGGAGGTCAAATGGCACAGTCTGTGGGGGGAGGGAGAGGGAGCGGGAAGGGAGGGAGAGGAAGAAGGAGGAATGAAATAGCAAATGGCATAAAATGTTAAACAATTATTGAATCTGGGTAAATAGCATACAGGAGTTCCTTGAACTATATTTGCCGCCTTTGTAAAATTTTAAACTTATATCGAAATTTACCCTTTTTAAAAATAATAAACCCTAATTCGCATCCTATTTTGCTTCTATTTTCTTCTGGAATTGTCTGTATTGGAGATTAGAGGCAAGATGGTCCGTAGAGCCTCACCCCAACCCCGGGCTGGGAGGGGCTGTGAATGGCACTGTGGGGACCGGGCCCAAACAGTAGACAGGGGCTTTGTCACCTACTGCAGAGGTTAGACCAGGTCCCCACAGCCCCAACCCACTCCTGAGCACCATCTCACCATTATTGGGTTTCTAAGTGGACGACAGCAAGGTACTTGTGCTAAACTACAAAGCACATCACAGAAGCCAGAGGCAAGGATTAGTGTCCGCTAGACAAACGACCAGCTGCTATTATCATCTTGTTCAAAGTTTAGAAACTGCTAGAGAGGAAAGGTCAGACAGCAGTTGTCTCTGAATAGTGAGTTTTTGTGTGGTGGCAGTGCGGGGGTGGGGGGGCACGTTTGAAGGAGGTTGAGGAGGGGAGGGAGAGTTGCCACCCACAAAGAACCCTTTAGAGAGCAATATTGGCATCATGATCTACCCCGTCTCAGCGTTTCCTGCGCATCCCCCATGAAGCAGACTCCTCAGACAGATTCTCTTCTGTCTTTGAAACAGGCATTAACTCTGCACACGCTGGTGGTCCTGAAGCACTTCTCCGCTACCTTCCTGTGTTTGGGAGAATTCCCCCTTCTGTGTCTCAGTGGGAAAAGATAAGAATGCCAGGGACTTGCTTCCTCAGGCTTCCTCGCAGTGTAGGTGGGATGTGAGGCAGCCAGTCAGATGCGTTTGCCCAGAGTCCCAGGGAACCCCAAGACAACTGGGCCCCTCAGCACCCTCAGCGGCTGCAGCGACAGTGTCCCTGAGGACCGGTTACAGGCATGATTCCCACGCACCCAGCTGCTCTGCGACTCACCAGACGTCATGTGTACAATCCAGTGACATTAAACACTTTCTCAGCATTGTGCAGCCATCACCACTTTCTAGTTCTAGCACGTCATCCCTCAAATGGAAACCCCGTGAAGCAGTTGCTCTCATTCCTCCCTTTCCCCTCACCGTCCCTTGAGACCACTAGTGCATTCTGTCCCTATGACTTCGCCCTTTCTGGATGTTTGATGTGAACGGAATCTTATGTTATGTGGTCTGACTTCTCTCCTTGAATGTTTTCAAGGTTCACACATGTTGTAGCACGTATCAGCCTTTCTACAGCCAAACCAGATCCCGTTGCATGGATATATTACGTTTTGTTTACCCATTCATTTGTTGATGGACAGTGGGTTGTGTCCAGCTTTTGGTGATGGTGAATAGAGCGGCTACGAATATTCAGGTACTAGCTTTTGTTCGGAGATCTGTTTTCCATTCTTTCCGGTATGGACCTAGGAATGGAATTGCTAGGTCATGTATTGATTCTACGTTTAACTTGTGTAGGAACTGCCGAGCTATTTTTCCTAGTACTTTTTTTAAATACACAATTTTCTGCTTAATGTAAGCAGAGTTTATTTCTGTTGCTGGCAACCAGGAACTTGGACTGATATCTTATTCCCACCTTACTGATGGGAAACCTGAGACTCAGGGAAGACTGAGCGGTTAGTCCAAAGCTCCTGGCTGGATCCAGGCCACAGATCCCTTAACAGTTTGCTGCTGAGACACTAGGACAGTGAGATTCCCTTTGCATCTCACCTCCTGCATAAATAATACGGTGCGGTGGTTCCCAACAGGGGTCCCTGGAGGCCAAGGGCGCCATGAATTATTGACCAGGGTCTGGGAGCTATTTTGAATATTTCACCAAGTGTAATGGAAAACCTCCACTTACGCACAATGAAGCTATTCAGGCTATCTAAAATGTCAAGTTTCTTTGCTTTTGGCAGAAATTAAATCAACCCAGGGTAGTAATAAGGGTTACTGCCTGCTGATCAGAGACTCTGGCTGGCAGTTATGTATATCTTTGATTAATTTTAAAAATGGGAAAATGAATAAATTATTACTTAATAAATGGAGTTGTTTGGTGAATTAAAATCTTTTAAAACATGGGGTCCATGGGGAGAGAAATCAGATATGAGTGTCTTGGTGATAAGAAGGCCATCAAAGAAAGCATTGAGAACACGTCCTTGGCTGGCACCTGGGGCTCTGGGTCTAAGAGTCTTGATTGTGCCACTGACAGCTCAGACCTTGTGCCGGTGACCACGGGTGTCCCCTTCTCTGCCACGGACGGGCTGATTTGCTGTTGCTAAGCCTCCTTCCAGCTGTGGTGTCCTGTGATTCTAACCCACCTATGAAGGGAGGCAGCAATGAAGAGGGGAGATAATTCATTTTTTTCTAGATGGCTGAGCTGCCCGCAGGACACAGCAGTGACCAGAGATGGGAGATCCTGCACACACCCGGCTCTCTCCAGACCTCTTCTCCTGCTGTAACCTCTGGCTTGCAAATGGCCACTTTCCTTCACCCCTCACCTCTGCCCTCACCCACGTCCGTTGCCAGGCCCTTTCTATCTCCGGAGATCTGTCCTCTGGATCAACACCTCTCTGTCCCCAGGCTGTCTCCCACATGGCCCTCAGCCGGGTTCCTGACCATTCACCACCTGCTTCCCTGGCTGGCATCACAGAACCCCGATATCTTTGTTTCCTCTTTGCTAACAGTAGTGTGGTCACATCACACCTTACTTGGTGCAAGGTAAGGTGTCGGGAAGCAGCCGTGACACCTGCCGGCCTGGCACACCTCTCGCCATCCTTCCTAAAGCCTGCACCAGCCGCAGGGAGCCTCCAGGATGGCTGGGCTGTTCCCGGCCTCCAAGCCTTTGGGTCATCCCTAATTGCTTTCTTGACATTTAGCTTGAAAGAGTGACAAAGTGACATTTTAACTCCTGGTGACACATACTGGTCCTGATGACAAATACAGTCAGCCCCAGTGAGCTTCTGTGTGATTTTGAACCTGCCCCTCCACCTCTCTGGGTGCTAAATATAATCATCACCTGAAGGAACATTTACCGTCTACCAAACCATGAGTTACAGACATAAAGAAATTAACATTTGTAAAGAGCTTAAGAACATTCAAAGGAATGGCACCCCGCAGTGAGTAAACAGCTCCGTGAAGTGCAGCTCTGGAGGGCAATCTTGCCTGTTGTGAATACCAATGTCTTTGACTGATGAACCCACAAACAGGCATTCATCAGTCAAAGACAATGGTTTGGGAGTTCCTGCCGCTCACGCCCTGTGTTGGCATCAGACCTGAGGTCACTGTGTAATGGGTCTACTTACTATCTACCCTAAGATATGGCTAGATCCCACAGTGGTAGGGCTCAGTCTCGAAGAGTGCTCCTCAGCCCTCAGACACCAGTCGAAGGTCCAGGCCTCCAGTACTTCTGACCCATTGGCTTCAAGTTGGGACTCGCAAGACTCCCAGTTTGTGTTTGATTAATTTGCTGAGCGACTCACAGAACTGAGGGAAACACGTTCACCAGCTTACTTTAAAGTACACTGCAAAGGATACAAATAAAGAGAGGTGCAGGGCGAGGTATGGGGGAAGGTGCCTGGAGCTTCTGTGTCCTCCCTGGGCATGCCACCCTCCAGGAGACACCATGGGTTCAGGTATCCGGAAGCTCCCGGACACTGTCCTTGTGGGTTTTTATGGAGGCTCTGATGCACGGGTATGCTTGACCATGCGGAAATGTGACTGGACAGAAAGCACGTGACCTAAACCCAGCAAAGCCTACCTGCTCAGACTTTTCTTGGCCTTTCTAAGCAGCATTCCTTCCTCTAGGGTATGGGGCAGGACCTTCTGTGGAATGAGGATTTTTTTTTTTTTTTTTTTTTTTTTTAAACAGAGTCTTGCTCTGTTGCCTAGGCTGGAGTGCAATGGCATGATCTTCACTCACTGCAAACTCCCGCCACCTCTGTTCAGGGGTTCTCCTGCCTCAGCCTCCTGAGTAGCTGGGTCTACAGGCACGCACCACCACATCCTGCTATTTTTTTGGTAATTTTAGTAGAGATGGGGTTTCACCATGTTGGTTGGGCTGGTCTTGAACTCCTGACCTCGTGATCTGCCTGCCTCAGCCTCCCAAAGTGCTGGGATTACAGGCATGAGCCACCACGCCCGGCCTAATGAGGGTTGTTTAATCCACAAACAGATTAGCATCCCATCATGAGCAGGTGAAAGAAAAACAGGAAAAGGTCAGAGAGAGAGATTCTGTTTCCTGAGTCCTAAAGCACCCCAGCATTCTAACAAAGAATGTGGGCGTTGGCAGCCAGGAACGTGGAGGAAACCAATATGCATATCCTGATACCACAGGCCTTCTGCGACGCAGATGCTACATGTTTTCCAGACACTTCCCAGACCTCACAATCCCTTCAGCCTTC